GTAGCCCGGGCCTGCTATAGGCAGTTAGGGTAGTAGTAGTAGGGATTCGGTTAGTTTAGGGCCTGTAGTCCCTCAGAATTACAGGTCTGTCCCTCTCGAATTTCCCAACAGGCAAGTCACTCGGTTAGCCCTCAGCCAAACAAAATTGCGAATCTAACCCTACTCTTAGTGTACAGCCTCGCAGACAAACTCGACAGCAGAAATCAGCAAATGATTGCAGGCTTACCCTCCCCGAGAGCGAGGACCTCCGAGCTAGGGGTGCAAACGAGGTGAGCGGCGAAGGTCACCCTTCTGAGCCGCCTCATACCGCAGAACTACAGACTTTGCTGTCTTGATCAGGTCTCTTCTGTAGAACCATCGGTTCTCAGAAGGAGGCTGGAACGCAAACCTGACAAGATACTGCCGGTCGGGGCCAGTGCCCCACTCGTCCTCAATGGCCACCACATCATATCCCTTACCAGGGATTGGTGGGCCCTATTGAGGGGGCCGGTCTGGGAATGCATCAGTTGGTATGAAAGGCAACAACTTAGATGCATGGAAGACCGGATAGGTTCGTAGATGCAGGGGCACGTCAATGATGTACGATGGGCCAAAAGGATCAGCGCCCACTGTATCTAGAACCTGCCACGGACCCAGGTAGCGTGGCAACAGCTTGGGAGAAATATCCTCCTCCCTCGACAACTCAGAACTGGCCACCCAGACATAGTCACCAGTACGGATGGGGGAAGGCCGCCTGTGGCGGTTAGCTTGTTCAATCATGGCCTTTTGGGCCTTGAACAAGTTCGCCCGGGCTCTTTCCACATCCAGACGATAGCGTCTGGCGAACTCCGCAGTGCCTGGGRTAAGGTCAGGCTTAGCCTTGTCGATGATATCATCGAGAGGCTGTCGTGGCTCACGTCCCCAATGTAACCGGTAGGGACTGAACCCTGTCGAGGAGTGGACAAACATGTTATACATGAGTTGTGCCCTCGCCAAGTGGAGATCCCAGTCCTGCTGATCAGGGGAGATCATAGGACGTAGCAACTGGAACAGGACGTGGTTCATCACTTCAGCCAATCCATTGGCTTCAGGATGACGACCATAAGTCATGTCCAGGCGTGAGTGCAGATAGTCCTTGCAGTAGAACTGCCACTCATCGCTGCAGAATCTGGGGTCTCGATCACTCACAATAGAGGTGGGCGGTCCATGGTGGGTGACCCACCTCGTAGAAAAGGCTGCTCTCACAGCCGGTACCCTGGCTACCTCTGGCAAGGGGATGAACTCTGCGTATTTGGAGAACCTGTCCACGCAGACCATGACCTGACGCATGCCACGAGGGGTAGTCTTGCCTAAGTCTGTGAAATCAATAGACACAGACTGGGCAGGACCATCAAGTATGGGCAAAGGTTTGAGCAATCCCAAAGGAGGTTTACGTTGAACCTTGTTCCTTTGGCAAAGCTCACAGGTGTCCACATAGCGCAGCATACCACTCCGCATCTCCTTCCAGAAGAAGCGCTGCGACAGGGCTGCATATGACTTTAGGAACCCAAAGTGTCCACGCGCGTCGTGGCACTCTGACATCAGCAGTGTCCTCAACTGCTGATCCTCAGGGATGCACAAGCGCTCCTCTCCTCTACTGTAAGTATACAGCAGTTCTGAACTCAGGGCATAGCCAAGCTCAGAATTAGGATCTGCTCGCAGATTCCTGACGATGGGTCCATAAGTCGGATCCTGAGGCAGCAAACGAGCGATGGTCTGACGGACCTCCTCTCCAAAGGAGTGAGTAGAGGAGATCAACGCAAAGGAGTCAGGCCTACGAGAGAGGGTGTCTGCTACTTTGTTGTAGCAGCCCTTCTTATGCTTTAGTTCAAAGTCAAACAGATCAATGAACTAGATGTAGCGTGCCAGTTTATCATTCAACTCTCCCTGGGACTTCAACCACTGCAAGGTGGAATGATCAGAAAAGATCTTGAAGTGCCTGCCCAGGAGAAAGTGCTTCCAATGTTTCAGGGCACTGACAAGAGCATCTAGCTCTTTCTCGTAGGTAGAGTCTTGAAGCTTCTGAGTTTTGATCTTCTTACTCATAAACTCTACAGGTCTTAGACGATTACCATCATCCTGCTGAAGGACTGCCCCAATGCCATATTGACTGGCGTCAGTGGTGAGAACAAATGGCAGAGTGGGGTCAGGCAACTTCAGAACAGGTGCACGAGTCAAGGCCTGTTTGAGTCGTGCAAAGGTCATCTGACAGTGGAGGGACCAAAGAAAGGGAGTGTCTTTCTTCGTGAGGTTGGTCAGGGGTGCAGCCACAACAGAAAAGTTCCTGACGAACTTTCTGTAGTAGGAGGCCAGACCCAAGAATGACCGGACATCTCTCACTGTCTGAGGTTGTGGCCAATCCTGAATAGCAGCAACCTTGGCTGCTTCAGGGGCCAAACCATCTCCAGAGATTACATGACCCAGGTAGATAACAAAGGGAACTCCAAAAGAGGATTTCTCCCTGTTGATCTTGTACTGGCTGTCACGTAACGACTGAAGGACTAGAGCCAGGTGCTCCGCATGTTCCCTGTTAGTTTTGCTGAATACCAGGATATCATCCAGGTAGACAACCATAAACTTATCCAGGTACGGCCTGAATATTCGGTGCATCTCAGTCTGGAATGTACCAGGTGCATTGCAGAGTCCAAATGGCATCACCAGGTACTCATAAGTACCATACCTGGTTTTGAAGGCCGTCTTGTGGACGTCCTCCTCTGCCATCTCAATCTGGTGATACCCAGACTTGAGGTCGACTTTGCTGAAAATGGTGCAACCCTGGACCATATCCAGAAGGTCATCGATCCTAGGGAGTGGCTCTGTGCTCTTCCTAGTGATCTTGTTGAGACCCCTGTAGTCGATGCACATTCTGAATTCCCCACTCCCCTTTGGAACAAAGAGGACTGGAGCACCGAATTTAGAAGTGCTGGGCCTGATCCAACCTTTGCTGGTCAGAGTCTCAAGCTGTCGCCTGAGCTCCTCGAGCTCAGCAGGTGACATCCTGTAGATGCGGCCCTTGGGAGGGACGGCTCCAGGCAGCAACTCAATATGATGCTTGGTTGGCCGTTTGGGTAACCCAAAGGGCTCCTGCATCAGATCAGCGTACTGGTCTACAACCTGCTGTATCTCAGGAGGACAGGGAGTAGAGGGAGCGTCTGTCTGCTTGACCAGAACGATAAACAAACGCTCATGATCATAATGGCGAGAGAGAGCATAGAACTCTCTCGCTCTCAAGCAGAAGCAAGAGGTCTGAGGGTGGTAATCAGCTGCAAGCATACAAGGCTGATATACCCGCTTGTTGTTTGGCAGTTCAACCTTGGGGATCTGCAAGTCGATCCTTGGGTTGACTGCTCTCAGCCACTGCATAGAGAACACAAGGTCAAAGGGTAGGTCAGGGAAAATGTAGAAGTTCAAACTATGTCTGACTTCTCCAGCACTGTCGAAGGTAACAGGGATACCCCTGACCTTCTCCCTGATGGTCAGAACAGTGGAGTCCCCTATGCGGACCTGCAGCGGTTGCTGCAGCTGCACCACTTTCATGCCCAGATGCAGTTTTTGGACTGCACTGGGAGACATGAAGTTGCGAGTGGCCCCACAGTCTAATAGCCCTTTGATCCTGCAATGGTTGATCAAGGGCCGAAGCAGGATGAGATCAGACTTGTTCTGCTTTTGTTCTTTCAAATGAAAGAAAAAAGCAGTAAGAGTCTGTGACTCAGACTGGTCCGGTTCGTGGTCGGGATCCTCATATGTGAAGGATGCTGCCCGTGCAGCTCCCATTCCGGATGGGAAGGAAGAAGTCTCAACTGAAGCTGCTGCAGCTGCAGATGCAGTTGCGGCACTGGAGGGAACTGCTGTCTCCAGGTTCAGCTTCAGTTTTTTGACTGAGCTGGGCTTGGCATGTAGGGACAGTCCTTTAAAAAGTGCTGCCCGTCACACCTCAGGCAGACCCCCTTTTCCTTCCTCTTCCTCCACACCCCTTCCCGTATCTTCAAATCATGCCAGGGAAGGGTGTTGGGGTTGAGGGGGTCTGCAGGAAAGCGGACGTCACGTGGCACATTAGGGGGCCGGGCAGGGGTAGAAGAGCGACGTCCCTGGCTCTTCCCCTTGCTGCTGGAGGGTGTGCTGGAGGGAGACCCGACCTTTTGAAAGGCCCCCAGCGCAGCCTGCAGCTGCTGGACAACTGCTGCAACATCTGGAACAGCAGCTGCTGCAGTCCCACCTGGCGGTGTACCAGGCCGGGATCCTGCATCAGATGATGATCCAGAACCCGCATAAGCAAAGGCCGCCTTTCCCTTTCTACCACCGCGAGGGAAGGCGCCTTTCCTCCTGTCACTGGAGGGGGCCTGAACATGGAGCTTGGCCTCCATGTGCAGTGCTGCACGTCCAAATGAGTGCCAGTCTTTGTGCCCGACGCTATACAAAGCGGTTGAGAACTTCTCAGGCGCAGCCCTGCAAAAGTTAGTCAGCAGATCATCAACAGACATAACCAATCCAGGGGTGGAGGTGAGCTGCTCAAATTCAGCGAAAAGGGCCTTCAGACTGCCGCTGTAACGCTGCTGTCCAAGGCGTACGATCTTGTCAGCAGCCTTACGGGCACGTTCCTTGTCTGCAAACCTGTCCTCCAGGGCCTGCAGA